GTCGTGTACCCGATCGGGTTTTCAGCCCACTCGATCGGGTACCATATGTGGCTTCGGCGAAGCTGAAAAATGGGGTCATACCCGATCGGGTCTGTCGGTCACCCGATCGGGTATGGACACCCGAACGTGTTAAAATCTTCCCGCATGATGCCTTGTTCCCGGATTTGATTTGATTCGAAATTTCAGAAGGGTACCCGACCGGGTATAGGTCATACCCGATCGGGTACAGACCAAAAACGAGATCTTCAATCTTTTTCTTGCATTCTTGCACCTTCCTTCCACTGGTGATGTTCTCCAAAGTGTATTTGGACCTGTTTGAGCTCAGAATAAACCTAATCTAAACATATTACAGATATTTTACAAACTAAACTATTTACACCAAAAGTGTGTAATTTCCAAAGTAACAATCACTCGAAACTAATTAAAAGTACAACTTTAAATACGGAAATTACACGAATGTCAGTATTATTAGGGGTATGATGGGAATATAGTGAAATAATGTGATAGAATGAAGGATAAATCCAAAAAAAGTAGGTGTAATAGTGTATTATTTTTAAAATTATTGAGGGTATGATGGGAAGATTTAGAAATGGGAAGATATTAGTATTACGTCCTAAAAAGGAAAGTGAGAAGATATTTACGTTACGGAGGTAGTATATTTTTAAGATTCCACATAGAAATATTAAAAGGCCAACTCACACCTTACTATGGAGTAAGGAAAAAACTCTTTTCCTGAGTACTTCTTGAAAGCATCAAGAATTATATTTATAAGATTCCACATAGAAATATGAAAAGGACAACTCACACCCGTGCATATATAAAGTGATGTTAGATTATCCATCGAGGTCAATTAGACTAGCTGATCGATTAAATTAAATCTTTACTGGTTGATCATGACTCACATATGAAATTTATAGCAATGAATTCGGGAAAAAAATTGAAATTACAAATAAAACAACAATCAAGAATCAAAAGTAGAAATTACCACTGCCTTGTGAACCTGCAAACTTTCCCAAAGCTTCTTCTTTGTTTTCCTTATACTCATTTGCTCTCTCGAATGCAAGTTTGACTGCAGGAGGCATCTAAAATCAGGACAAAAGCACAAACTGTTCCGTCAACTAGTAACCGATCTATTGCGGCATCAGAAATTTATCATGTTCGGCGGATATAGTCTATATAAAATCTTGTAAATAAGCACTTGATTTGCAAAATCAGTTCATCACTCGTGGCCTTCACCCCTCCAAATATTCCAGTATTTAGGGCTTTCCAGATCGAGTAAACTGTACAAGTGAAAGCAATTCTAACAGCCTTACTATTTAGTCTTGCAGGCCTAGTCAATAATGATATCATCACTTCACTCAACTTTATTTATTTTTGGCGTCTGCAATAACTCCTACTTTTACAAGATAATCAAGAAATTGGGGTGTTACGTACCCTGAGAAAGATCAAAGACGCTGACAAAAAGCGTAACAAAGAGATTTGTGAGTGACAGGGAGGATGAGAATGGAATTCAATGGGCTGACTGAAGAAAACACATCCCTGAGCATACAAATTTCAATTTTGCAACTCTTCATCCTTAACTTTAAGTGTCTCCCGTAGCGTGCAGATGATACCTTCAGTTCTGCCAATCAGCCCTAAACAATAACACATTCATCTATGGGCAGATTCCCAAAAAAAAGAAAAAAATTATCCAATCCAAGCAACAACTATAAAAATTACTATGGTCTATGTTAAGGCGTGAGCAACTTATACGTACCCAAAGACAAAATACCCGCTTGCAAAATCCACCTACACTTCTAACCGTTCAATCTATTGAAGAATTACATTTATTTCTATCCGTTCCAAGGATTCAAGAATTTTTAGTTTTTTGGATTACACAGAGCCAGAGACATTAAGCACACATATAATACACCATCAGTAAACTTACCAGATGCTCAGTGACTAGCTCAAACTGTTGGCCAGAAATCCTAGGCTAAGCCGTTCGACCTGCACTCGGCGCTGGAGCCAGGCAACTTTACCCACAATCGCGTCTGGTCGCTAGTCCAAATCTGATCGCGCGCAGGGTACGCCTCTAATCGTTGGTCCATTTTTTCCCTCTGGTTGCTGGTCGCCGGGTGCGCCTGGGGTCTGTCGGGTCTGTCTGCGGTCTCCGGGCCCGTTGGTAGTCGCTGGTCGTTGGCTGTCCACGGTGGCTGGTCGATGGCCGTCCCAGGGCGATGGTCGCTACTTTGCTGAATTTTGGGCTAGGTTTGAAGGTCTTCCTAAATAACAGAAATGACGCGTATCACATAGGTTTACTCATCCAGATCGGTTATAGCCGGTCTCGTATGAGGCACGATTTTTGTATTTTGCTATTTTTCGAAACCGGTTTTAACTGATCTTAAAACAACTTCCATTAATTAAAAAGTTGACCCCATTTTTGTGTTTACATCGGTTGTTTATAAGACCAATGTAAAATATTTTATAAAATTGTAAAATACACCCCGTTTCACTATTTAACATCATGTATAACAATAACTGATGTGAAAAAGTTTGTAAAAATTATAAAAATGACCCCATGTTAGTATTTCATATGGGTTATATGATAACACATGTAGATGAGATGATGTAAAAAGCTTTTTTTCTACTAGTGAAAGGAACTGAAGAATGGCAGTGCCAAATGGTTTGTGTGGGTAAAAATCAAAATTGCCAAGAATTCGTCCTGTTTAGAATTTAGATGAGATCGCATCAAAGGAAGGAAGAAATGGATATTGAGAATGATTAGAGCTAAATGCTTTGTGAATGTGGGAGAAGTAACTACAAAAAGAAAGGGAGATGCATTGGGATGGGAAGTGAGAATAGAAGGGTGGGAGCTCTCTGAGGGGAGAAGGGATGCGGTTCACCAGTGTATTTTTTGCTTTTATGGAGTTACATGTATCACACTAAAAGAGAATGTGAAGAGATATCGAAATGGAAAAAAGAAAAGTGATATTAATTCATGTTGATTATATTGTGTGGGAACGGTTGATTGAGAGTTCATTTGATAGTATTGAAATTGAATGAATTGGTTAAAATGTTCAAGGTGGTGAAATTTTGACAACACCATCTAAAGTTCTAAACTGCTTGAATTTGCAAAAATAATAAGAAAAATAACTTGATTTTGAATAAACTTATGAATTTGGCTGTTTTTATTGTTTAGTTGATAGCAACAATTTCACACCGATGTCATATTGTCACCAAATTAAAAATAGGAAGAAAAAAATAGGGGAAAATAATAAAAATACCCCAAACTTTGAAGTGGTGTGAGATAAACATCCCAAACTTGCATATGTAATTTAAATACCCCAATCTTTATATAAAAAGTTATTTTCGCACTATTGTCATTTATTATTTCCTTAAAAAATGTAAACTTATGAGGTTAATTCTATCATTTAAAATAAAAAATTAAAAGTGTTGCAATTATATAGATTGAGGGTAACAATATTTATTTCGAAATAGAAGGTTAGAATGCTAATTGTGTCTTCATGAATTCTAAAATATTTCAAATTATGCAATTAACACCATAAATTTACATTTTTGAAAGAAATAATACTTGACTATGGTGTTAAAATAACTATTTATATAAAGTTTGAAATATTTAAAATACATATCCAAGTTTGGGGTGCTCATCTCACACCGCTTCAAAGTTTGAGGTATTTTAATTATTTTTCCCAAAAAAATATTGATGATTTTTTGTAAAGAGATAATCTTATAATCACACATTCACACATGCCATAGTTTTTCCTAACTTAATTGTTCTACAATCGAATTAAATTTGGGACAAGGAAATATTTTTTAAATTTCCTTTGAAATCATTTTCCAAATGTAGATAAAATTTTGTTTTGTGAAATTACTTTACGAATATTTTCAGTTTATTTTATAAAACTACAATATACTTCGTATATGAATTGCCATAAAAAGAATATTCATGGAACATTATTTTTCATCCCGTGCATCGCACGGGTACTATACTAGTTATGATGTAATACAATTAGTGTAATTACTCCCTCCGTTCCAGGACTTTGCCAACTTTCCCTTTTTGATTGTCCCAAAAAACTTTGTCACTTTCCTATTAAAGCAACTAATTTGTGATTCTGCACATTTCTTTCTTCTCTGCATAAATTTCAATCACACAGTTTTTACTATTCTTATTTCTCACCTATTCTCTGCACTTGACAAAGTCCACCGGGACGGAGTTAGTATAATTTATAAGGAAGTAAAAGTTTGAAAATTCATAACACCTAATTAATCACAAATATAACTAGTCTGCTTGATTAGCAAATTATGTTGCACTGCTTGAACGACATGGGTGATAAATGGCCCTCTTGACATTATTGGAATTAACTCGGTAAAATTCCAATTTATTATTGCAACTTCAAAATTAAACTCTTTAATAAGAGAAACAAAAATAAAGTTTTAATGCATGATCATTGGTATAATGGAATTAGTTAAGATGCAAAATAATGAAAAACAATGCAAAATGGGAGATTAGGTTTCTGTTTTCCTAATAATCAGTTTGTATATGCATTGAAATTACATGCGACTTGAGATTCATGAGTTATTTTTATAAAATTAAAAAGACTATATGCGGATTTCAGATGCTTGTAACAATTAAATAGGCAATAATATTTGCATGTGACCATCATCATGTGTAGTTATAGTTGTTTGAAAGTTACTTCAATAAGAAAAGAAACTTTACGATAGAGGTTTTGAAAAAATGAAATATTTTAGGGAAGAATAATGTTTTATTGAAATAAAAACTTTATCTGTTTACAAAGGAGCCGAGTATCTATATATATATATATATATATATATATATATATATATATATATATATATATATATATATATATATATATATATATACACACACACACACACACACGCGAACAAGTTGCTATGTCTAAAAATTAATTGAGCCCTTGGCCCACTTAATACAATATTTACAATTTATAGTGGAGGCCCACTCTAATACCCCTCAAGTTGGAGCGTGTGGATCAAACATGCTCAACTTGCGTAATAGATGATCAAATTGGCATTTGCCAAGAGTTTTAAGGAGTGTTTGGGGTTGCTTAAAAAAAACACTTTTCAGCTTTTGGTTTAAAAAAAGTTGAAAAGAGTGTTTTCAAATGACAGCTTCTGCTTAAATTAATCACTTAAAAGCTAAAAGCTGGAAGCAGGTAGAAGGGTGCTTTAAACTGCTTTTCACTTTTTCTATTACACAAAAAGTACTTATTTTACCAAACACTAACAACTTTTACTTTTTCAGAATCACTTTTTTCTCAAACACTACCAACTTTTACTATTAATCACTTTTCCCAAAATCACTTTAAAAAATCACTTTTTTAAAGTCGAAGCAATCGCAAACACTCCCTTAGTAAAGATGTCTGCCAGTTGTTCAGTAGTAGAGACATGCTTGGCCGAAATCAGGCCTTCCTGTAGGGCATCCCGAATATAATGACAGTCCACCTCAATGTGCTTGGTGCGTTCATGAAATACCGGGTTATGAGCGATATGTAATGCAGAACGACTATCACAATATAATGAGATAGGTCGGGGGTGAGCAATGTCAAAGTGAAGCAGAAGACTTTTTAGCCACTTCAATTCCGCAGTAATAGCCGCCATAGACCGGTACTCAGCTTCAGTAGAGAAACGAGATACAATGTGTTGTTTCTTGGTCTTCCAAGAAATGAGAGACCCGCCAAGAAATACCAACCATCCTGAAAGAGAACGTCGAGTGAGTGAACAACTAGCCCAATCAGAATCACACCATCCTGTAAGTGTCAGATCACCAGAGGAACGTAGTAGAATTCCCTGTCCAGGAGACCCTTTGAGGTAACGTACAACCCGAAGAGCCGCATGTCAATGTTCTTGTCGTGAGGCCTGCATAAACTGAGACAAAATATGAACGCTAAATCCGAGCGAGTGAAAGACAGATAAATAAGACGGCCAATCTTTGATACCTAACAATTTTGCAATAATTCCCTATATATACACTATCGTATTTCCGTATAGGACCAAAAAACATGTTAGAAACTAAAATATGAAAGTGACCACCAGAAATTCAACAATAAAGTCGATGGCCTGACATTCAAGGTGAACGCATTAACTAAAATAAAAAAATGGAGAACCCTCCTCCTCTGCTCATCCTCGTACCGGCGTCCTTCGGTGCCGCTTTTCTACTCTTCGCCGTTATCCACAGAATTTCCCGGCGAAACAAATACGTGGGCCGAAAAGTGCCCGAAGCGGGCTTCGCATGGCCCATAATCGGCCATTTCCACCTCTTCGCCGCCAACAAACGGCCCACTCACCACATCCTCTCCGACATGGCCGACAAATACGGCCCGATATTCCGTCTGAGGCTCGGCGCGCGTGAAGTCGTGGTCGTGAGCAACTCCCAGATCGCCAAAGAATGCTTCACCGTCAACGACGCCGCTCTCGCGGGCCGGCCCGAGTCCATTGCGGGCGAGCACTTCAGCTCCAACTACGCGGCTTTCGCGCTCGCCCCGGCCGGCCCGCTTTGGCGGGAAGTCCGCAAGGTCGTCGTACTCGAGCTGCTGTCCACGCGCCGCCTCGACGCGCTCAGGCGCGTGAGGCAATCCGTGATGAAAACATCAGCCCAAGAAATCCACCGGAGCTGGCTGGCGGCCGGCCAGAAAGGGAAGTCCGGTGAGGTCGCCGTCACGCTCGACATGAGCGAGTGGTACTGGAAATTCGTCATCGGAACGATGTTCCAGGTACTCTTTGGGAAGCTGCACGAGGAAGAGTGGAGCCGGGCGGCGGCGACGGTGGACAGATTTTTTAGCCTTTTGGGTGCGTCGGTGGTGGGTGATTACCTGCCGTGGCTGAGATGGATGGACATCGGAGGATATGAGAAGGCCATAAAGGAGGCTGCCAAAGAGATGGACGATCTTATGGAAGGCCTTCTTCAAGCACACAAGAGGGAAAAGGCTGGTAAATCAAAGGAGGAAGAAGATTTCATGGATGCAATGATTACCCACTTTAATTGCAACATGGAAATTGCAAATGGATTTGATGCTGACACAGTTATCAAATCAACTTGTACGGTACGTATGTCTTAAAGTCATGAAAACAATAAAATACTCCATATATAAAAATTGTAAACAAAATTTCTCTAGTTGTCTGTATACATACACAATTCATTTAAAAAGGGGCAAGACTTAATGTCAAATTGTCTAGGTACACATTTTGTGCTCATCTTGTGTACACCAAGAATGATCCTATTTCTAATTTGTTGTGCACCATTGACAAATGATATTTTCTTTTGGGCAGTTTTCGTTCTAATCTAGACTTAAATAAATTAGATCAGAAATCATAATCTAGAACACTTATAAAATATACAGAAATGATACATTTATCAAATTAGACCAGATTAGTTTAGACTTGACGAAACCTGACCATCAAATGTTTGTCCAAAAGAGAACTTCCTTAATAGTATCCCTCCGTAACATAAAGATCTTCCCATTTTGACTTTTCACGGTCTTCTAAGTTGAACTTTGACTGCAAATATCTACATATCTATATTTATAAAATTCATAATAAATTAACATTCAAATAATACGTTTTACAATGAGTTATATAAAATAAATTTTTAATCATAACATAATGTGAGTTTTGAATAATTAATAGTCAAAGTTCATAAAGTTTGACCCAAAAGAGTCAAACTGGGAAGATTCTAGCGTTACGGAGGTAGTATCTAATCTATACTTGGGGGTGTTTGACTAATGATTTTTACCCCACACGCCATTTTTTCTAATAGCAAACGCTGCATTTTGCAGCATGTTGCTTGGCAACCACCGAAATACAAACACCCCTTTGTCTTTTTTACTTGACAATAGTATTAAATAAGTCTCCCTACTATTAAGAAAATGTTAATTAAGTCCACCAACTCAAGCATGGGTAGGTGTCTTTCTCTCCCTTTTTCTCCTTTTTCCTTCTCTTCTACCCTACACGCGATAGCTTTCTGCCTTTCTCCCTGCACCTTTTAGCTTTCTTTGTCAACAGTTCTCAAGTAATTATTATTGTTTTAATTTTAATTTTTTCCATCTTTTTCCCATAGTAATATAATTCCCAAGCTAACTCCATCATCCATGGGGCTGCAACCAGCTGCGGAATCAGAAGAATATTTGAGGGGAATCAGAAGAATATTTGAGGGGTGGTTAAGAAATTCTTCAAAACTCAAAATAAAATTGTAAAAAAAGTATAAGAAAATATAACATACATAACCTAACAACAATAACATCTAAACTTTATTCCCAAAAAAATTTTGGGGTCAACTACACATAGGTAATCTAACAAATACGGAGTATTACCTCTGTCTCGTACTTTCAAAGGTTCACATTACAAAATGACACAATTATTTAAGCAATATTGAAATAGGTTAATTCAAATATATTTTGATAAATATTTTGATTAATATATAAATAATGAGTTATTGATGATAATTGTGATGTCATAAATATATTATTTTAAAATTGATGATTAAATTCTTATTTAAAAGTGTTAATTATTTTTTAATAAAGAAAATGAGAACCTTTAAGCGGGAAGTCAAAAAGAAAGTGAAAACCTTTGAATGAGATATAGGGAGTAATAATATTTAATAAAATTATAAAAATCATTAATAAAATTATGTACTACTCCCTCCGTCCATCTATGATTGTCTCATTTTACCTTTTCGGGAAGTCCCACTAAGATTGTCTCATACCAAATTTGGTAAAGTTTGTGTGGCTCGAAATCATTCTTACTTTATTTTTACTTTATCAATTTTATATCAACCACACAAACCCACTTTTCTTAATAATCGTGTCACCTTCTCTTGTCCCAATCTTAGTGGGACGAAGGTACTACTACGTAATATACTACACGCACCGCATGTCTGCATATAAGTTATTGGTCATTTTTACTAACTTAAGTTAATTTACACACGTACATAGTAGATAGAATAAATTATTGGTCAATTTTTAAAGATTTTTAGAAAAACTTAAAAGTAAATAAATAAAAGGACAAAACTTTAGCCTAAAACTGTACAGAGTATATTAATGGCCGGCTAAACTACATAATTAAAAACAAGGATTACCAAGCAGTAAATAAAAAGACAAGGATTACTACAGAGGAAGTGCAACCTTAAACAAACATAATTAAAAATAAAAACACCTTAATCGCAACCCAAAATACAAATAATTCAAAATTAAATTACTAAAACAATAAAATAATTCGAAGATGCTCAGTCGTTTCATACTTCGTTATGTTCGTATTTCCGAATTAGCATTTGGGCGGCTAGGTCTTTGGTCCGGCCTTTGGGCTGCTAACTGATAAGAATCAAAATTGAAGTCTGTCTATGAGCCCCACTATACTACGTCGTTTCTACTGTTTTTTACACTTAACAAAACGCTGTCGTATGAGTCAACTGAAAAACAAAACAAAACAAAAACAGACCCTAAGAAGTCAACTGGTTCAATAGAGCACAGGTCGGCGGAAATCAGAAGGCGCAAGGAAGAAGATGTAATGACCCAAACCAAAAATAAAAGGGAGGAGGCCACATCAGCAATAATAAAGGAAGGGCACGTGACTGAAGGTGCGGAAAGCGTGGATATGCGGAGGAGTAACAGAATAAGGGCCACTAACACAAGACTGAAGGATTACATCTGGCAGAAGAATCAATATAAAAACTAGTTTGTTAGAAGAAAGGGATATGAATGGATTTACTGGAAACTACTTCTTCTCTCTTCTAGTTTCAGGCCTCCATTCATCAACCATAAATAAATTCTTATTACTGTTGAATCCTAGTTTACCAATCTGGAAACTGTAATAAGATTATACGGATATTTCTGAGTTGGGATATTGCTACTATCCTTATTATTACTGCTAGTTATTTCTATAGTTTGGGTTGAGTCCATTACACTGGTGCTTTCATTCATCCATGGCGGCGGAAGGTACTCGTCAGAAAGAACTCGACAATCGCCTAAAGGAACTCTCATTGGAAATCGGAAAACTGAGAGATCTTCCGGATGAGGTTCGTCAAATGTCTGAATCTGTTTCTGCGACCGATCGCGACTTAAACAAATTGTTAAAGGCTCTGGAATTGAGAAAGAAGGATGATGAAGAGCGGTTTAACACGCTAGAATCCATGGTCGATTCTCTCGCAAAAAAATCCTCAGAGATGAATTCCGGTCCATATCAAGGGGGATCACGTCTTCCATTTCAGGTTAGAAACGTGAAACTCGATTTTCCTCGTTTTGACGGTTCTGAAGTGTTGCAATGGGTTTTTAAAGAAGAACAATTTTTCTCTTATTACAACATTCCGGATGATCAGCGATTGACTATTGCCGCAGTTCACATGGAAAAGGACGTTGTTCCTTGGTTCCAAATGATGAATAGATCTAATCCCTTTCGTTCATGGATTGAATTCACCAGAGCTTTAGAAATGGAGTTTGGGCCTTCTCCATATGAATGTCCGAGGTCAAACCTGTTCAAACTGAGTCAGGAAACTTCAGTACATGATTATTATTTAAAATTCACTGCACTTGCTAATAGAGTGCAAGGTGTGACCACTGATGCTTTGTTGGACTGCTTCGTAGGCGGTTTAAAACCAGATATTCGCAGAGAGGTTATTGCTCAAGCACCTACATCATTGATCAGATGTGTTTCCTTGGCTAAGTTGTATGAGGAAAAATTTACCCCTAAATTCAAATCCTATCAGTCCAATTATTCTACCAAAACTTCAAACACCTTTAGTAACCAATCATCTCAATCACTCAAATCCACATCCCTACCACCATTACTTCCAACTCCGTCAACAAACAATAGCTCCTTCACGCCCAATACCAAACCCAATACTGTTAAGAAGATGTCTGGGGCAGAAATGCAACTTCGACGAGAAAAAGGCTTGTGTTTTACCTGTGATGAGAAATTTACGCCTGCACACTGTTGTCCTAATAAACATTACTTACTATTACAGGTGGAGGAGGAGGAAAATATGATGGACAGTTTGCATGCTTCGGAGTACACAACTGATAAGGAGCCTATTATAACGGCTGAACCACACCTCTCTTTCAACGCTCTCAAAGGAGCAACAGGACTGGGCACCATGCGTTTTCAAGGGACAATTAATGGGCTAGCTATCCACATTTTATTAGATAGTGGCAGTTCTGATAATTTCTTGCAACCTAGAATTGCAAAATGCTTAAAATTACCTATTGAATCTACTGAAAACTTTAAGGTCATGGTGGGAAACGGCTCTGCATTGACCGTGGAAGGATGTATTAAGGAGTTGGCAGTTCGGGTTCAAGGTCATTCTCTGGTCTTACCAGTATTTCTCCTACCCGTTTCTGGTGCAGATTTGGTTCTAGGGGCTGCTTGGCTTTCTACGTTGGGTCCTCACATTTCTGACTACAGTAACTTGTCACTCAAGTTTATGATAAACAACCAGTTTGTTACATTACACGGGGAGCAGCTCAAGCTACCAAGCCAAATCCAATTTACACAGTTACAAAGACTGCACAAAACTCATTCAAGTGATGAGATTCATTTCTTATACTTCCAGGCTAATACTTTTCCAAAAAATGAGCCAGAGCTACCACCCAATTTGCAACCAGAGTTGGCAACATTATTGCAGAGATATCATCAGGTATTTGAGGTTCCTTCCGGATTACCCCCTCACAGAGATCATACTCATTCAATTCCCCTTGTTCATGGTGCTAACCCTGTCAAAGTTAAACCATATAGATATCCGTTCAGTCAGAAGCAACAGATTGAAAAAATGGTGCTAGAAATGTTACAAGAGGGTATTATTGCTCCTAGCACCAGTCCTTTTTCCTCACCTGTAATCTTAGTGAAGAAAAAGGATGGCACATGGAGGTTTTGTACGGATTACAGAGCTTTGAATGCCATAACAGTAAAGGATAGTTTTCCTATACCGACAGTGGATGAACTAATTGACGAACTAGCTGGGGCCCACTATTTTTCTAAGTTAGACCTGCGGTCAGGTTATCATCAAATATTGGTCAAGACAGAGGATAGACATAAAACGGCTTTTAGAACGCACCAAGGGCTGTATGAGTGGCTGGTCATGCCATTTGGTCTCACCAATGCTCCGGCTACCTTCCAAAGTTTAATGAATGACGTGTTCAGTAACTTATTAAGGAAGTGTGTTTTGGTTTTCTTCGATGATATTCTAGTCTACAGCCCTTCCTGGGAATCTCACCTACAACACCTAGAATTGGTTTTGAAGTTACTTCAAGAACATCAGCTTTTTGCTAAGCTGTCGAAGTGTTGTTTTGGTCAGCAACAGGTGGAGTATTTGGGCCATACAGTTTCAGCTCAGGGACTAGCAATGGAGAGTAGTAAAATACGGGCAATTCTTGATTGGCCCATACCGGAAAATCTGAAACAGCTCCGGGGATTTTTGGGATTAACTGGGTATTATCGGAGATTTATTAAAGGTTATGCTTCATTGGCTGGCCCCTTGACGGATTTGCTCAAAAAGGGTAGTTTTGTTTGGGGATAAGGGTCAGATAGGGCCTCGAACTCGAAAAAAAATGTCAAATAAGGTCATATTTCGGATGCTCTGTCTGGCCGACGCCATTTGGGGCGGTTCCCGATGGAATTTTTTGATGAAATTTTTTGACCATCTTCCTCATTAAGTCTAGTTTACCCATACCAAATTTCAGCTAAAAACTCAACCGGGAAGGTAGTCAAATGAATTTTTGAAGATAACTGTGAAGTTAAACAACGCCGTACATTTCGGAAAATTATTTGACTACCTTCCCGGTTGAATTTTTAGCTGAAATTTGGTATGGGTAAACTAGACTTAATGAGGAAGATGCTCAAAAAATTTCATCAAAAAATTCCGGGATAAGGGTCAGATAGGGCCTCGAACTCGAAAAAAAATGTCAAATAAGGTCATATTTCGGATGCTCTGTCTGGCCGACGCCATTTGGGGCGGTTCCCGATGGAATTTTTTGATGAAATTTTTTGAGCATCTTCCTCATTAAGTCTAGTTTACCCATACCAAATTTCAGCTAAAAATTCAACCGGGAAGGTAGTCAAATAATTTTCCGAAATGTACGGCGTTGTTTAACTTCACAGTTATCTTCAAAAATTCATTTGACTACCTTCCCGGTTGAGTTTTTAGCTGAAATTTGGTATGGGTAAACTAGACTTAATGAGGAAGATGGTCAAAAAATTTCATCAAAAAATTCCATCGGGAACCGCCCCAAATGGCGTCGGCCAGACAGAGCATCCGAAATATGACCTTATTTGACATTTTTTTTCGAGTTCGAGGCCCTATCTGACCCTTATCCCAAAAATTCCATCGGGAACCGCCCCAAATGGCGTCGGCCAGACAGAGCATCCGAAATATGACCTTATTTGACATTTTTTTTCGAGTTCGAGGCCCTATCTGACCCTTATCCCTTTTGTTTGGAATAAGTCCGCTACAGTGACATTGGATCTTCTAAAAAAAGCTATTACTACTGCACCAGTATTAAAATTACCAGACTTTTCATCACCATTCACATTGGAAACAGATGCTTCAGGGATTGGAATTGGGGCTGTTCTGAGTCAAAAAGAGCATCCTATAGCATATTTTTCCAAGAAAATGTCTATCAGAATGCAACAGCAGTCCGCGTATGCCAGTGAATTCTTCGCTATAACGGAAGCCATTGCTAAGTTCAGACATTATCTCTTGGGCCACAAGTTTGTCATCCGGACAGATCAGAAAAGTTTAAGAAGCTTAACAGACCAAACCTTACAAACCCCAGAGCAACAGAAGTGGTTACATAAATTACTTGGCTATGATTTCACTATAGAGTATAAACCTGGAAGGGATAACGTGGCTGCAGATTCGTTATCTAGGTCTTGCTATTTGGCCTTATCTAAACCTATGCCAATGATTTTGGATTCCTTGCAACAGGCACAACACGGGGATATCAAAATTAAAGAAATTATTCAAGGGTGGCATCAAAATCAATCCAATTATCCCCATTACTCAATACGGGACAATCTACTACGTTGGAAAGGGAGGGTACTAATACCAAAAGGGCATGAATTGATTCAAAAAATCCTACAAGAGTTCCATTCATCTCCAATTGGTGGTCATGCTGGTTATAAAAGGACGTTGGCAAGAGTGACTGCTCAATTTGTCTGGCAAGGCATGCAACACGACGTTCAACAATTTGTTAGGCAATGTTTGGTGTGCCAACAGGCTAAGGTAGCTACTGTGTTGCCTTCAGGCTTGCTACAACCATTGCCAATTCCGAATCAAATTTGGGAAGACTTAGCCATGGATTTCGTTACCGGATTGCCCTTGTCTCATGGTTTCACAGTAATATTAGTGGTGGTGGATAGGCTTTCCAAATATGCGCACTTCATACCGCTGAAAACAGATTACAATAGTAAGACCGTAGCCGAGGCATTTATGAAGGTTGTAGTCAAATTACATGGTATACCTAAGACCATTGTATCTGACCGAGATAAGGTTTTTACTAGCCAATTCTGGAAGCATTTGTGGCAGATCAGTGGGACAACCCTGAGTATGTCAACTGCGTATCACCCACAATCAGACGGACAATCGGAGGTCTTGAATAAATGTTTGGAGTTATACCTTTGATGCTTTACTTTTGATTCTCCAAAAGATTGGTCTAAGTTTTTACCTTGGGCGGAGTACTGGTATAATACATCACATCACACCAGTGCAGGATTCACACCCTTCAAGATAGTCTATGGCAGGGATCCTCCTCAACTATGTAGGTATATTCCTACTGAAAATGAACCACTGGAAATACGGGACCAGCTAGTGACGTGTGATGCACTTATTGAGAAGCTCAAGGTTAATTTG